TATGGGGGCAGCCAACAAATTTCTGTTTGGATTTGAGGCCTGCTCCACAGGAAGGAATTTGTTCCTGGTACTGTAGACCTGATCAAAAAGTCCATGGCTGAGAAGGCCATAGGCACTACAGGAGAATCTACTATTGTTACTGTCCTAAAAGTTCATGTTGTCAAACTACCTTCTAAATGTTTATTTTTATACCCACATGTTGGTGCTGCTCTCAACCTTAGTCAGAGAAACTTATTTTTATAATGAACATCAGTTAATACAGATTCATAAATGGGTCAAGTGTTGAGTATAAGTGCCTGTGAGTGCTCAGCCCTAACTGTAAGCTAATTATCAGTTCCATATCAAGGTTTGGGGCACATCATGGAAGAAGAGATGGAAAGGATCTAATAACTGAAAGATGTGGAGAAGTATGGTGAGATGATGTCCTCTGGGCACAACATTACTAACACATTGATGGATTCACAGCACCTATTGCTACCTTCATAAAGTCCTCACAAGGTCAACCCAGTGAACGTTCCAGCATGGATGAAGGAAGGGCTCACAGAAGCACTCCTCCACATGTGGCTGAGGAGTTATTGACAGTGGATAGAGCCTAAGGAAGGGATAGTAAGATTTTAGGGAGGCTATACAGCCTCCAGTAGATGACCTCACACTTACACACATATAGGCAGCATTAGCGGGATATGGTGGAATAACAAATACAGAGGACCTGAAGTTTGGAGAGAGATTTGTATGTGGGGTGTCCAAGGGGACTTGGAGTGGGGCCATGGGGAGTGGATAGAATCATAATATATTATATAGATATGTGACATTCTCAAAGAATACTTTTTTAAATAATAAAGAAAAAAGCTAAATTATGGACACATCATAGTAACTTTTTATGTGTATGAGTGTGTTGCCTGCATATATGTAAGCACACACATGTCATGTGATGACCACAGAGGTCAGAAGAGGGTGTTGTATCTCCTGGAACTGGAGTTATGGATGACTATTAACCACCATGTGGGTGCTTGGATTCAAACCTGGGTCCTCTGCAAGAGCAGCCTGTGCCATTTCTCTAGCCCCATAGCATACTAATTTTAAAATGTCCATGATTCATTGCTTTGGAACTAGCTTCCAACATGTTACCGAAATGTCATTACATTATACATATGTGACTATTCTGACATCAGTAAAAGCATAAATGGCCAGTGGATGTAAAACATGTTGCTAGGATGAATGAATTGCAAAACTTCACAAGATTCCTTGCTGTTTTCTTGAAGATACATGATACAAATAAATGTTTAGGCATAAAACAGGTCATTTTTATTATTGTTTTGTTTTGCTATTATTGAAAAATGACCCAATGTCCCTATTTTTGAAGCATTGTTATTTTCAAGCAACAAATATGCCAATATTTAGAAAGTCTTCCTAATCTAAAAAAGCAATACAAACGTTTAGCTCAGAGACTTGATTGTTCTAGGTTTTAAAAATGATACAACAATTCTGAATTCAACAGACAATATAAATTGATTAACTCTATTATGTTGTCCTCCCACCCCAAGGCAGTCTATCTGGGATAGAGTCTGTGGGGGTGCAGGTGTAGACTTGCTAAAACTATTTTCCATGACCTCCTGTGATGGTTAGTATCTACTGTTAACGTGAGAAGAATTGGAATCACCTAGGAAACACCCCTCTGAGTGTTTCTGTGAGAATGTTTTCAAAGATGTTTAACTAAGGAAAGAAGACCACCCTGAATATTACTGTGGTCTGGGGTCCCAAAAAAGACTAAAAGGAGGAAGTAAGTATATCTCCAGTATTCATCGCTCCCTCCTTCCTGAATGTCCACACAATGTGACCAGCCACCTTACATTCCCACCACCATGCCTTACCATGATAGACTGGATCCCTTCCTAAATCATGAGCTAAAATAAGCCCTTTTCATTTAAGTTGTTTCTATCTAGCATTTTGGTACATCAACAAGAAAACTAACTAATGTACTTACATAAGAATTATTTTAATTAATTTGAATTTATGGGGTATTTGATCAGTTTTCTCACTGAAGCTACTTAGGAAAAAAATGAAGGAATTAATCTTTTCGCTGTTAAAAATCTCTGGCCTGAGTGTGTGGTGTTGCATGCCTTTTGCAGAGGCAGAGGCAGGTGAATTTCTGTGAGTTCCAGGCCAGCCTGGGGCTAATGTCTCAAAAAAACTAAAAAAAACAAAACAAAACAAAAAACAACTTTCCTCTGATCTGCTCAAAGACATGAGCTAGTTTTAGTCTTCCTCTGAAGCAGCATATTATTGGTTTTATCAGACTGGGCTAAAGTAAACTTTCACCTAAGGGTAACAGCTCTAGAATTGACTTATTCATCTGTGACTATACATGATTGGGTCCTTTTCCTTCTCCTGTTTTTCTTTCAGTACTGGGGGTTGAACTCAGTATGCATTATATGCTATGCAAGTACTTTACCTCTAGCTACATGCCCAGTGAAAAAGACAACAATCCTACCTATGGTTTGAGAAGAACTCAAGGGCCTTTTGGAGTTTGAAGACTCCCGTTGCAGCACACATCAGCAAGAAGATTCCAAATTGAAATAACAAGCTAATAATATTGGGGGGCGGTTAGTGTGAAGAGGGGAGCTATAGAGAATCAATTTCCCTGAGCCCCCCTCTTCTGAGACAGAGTTTTCTTAGTAGCCACAGCTGGCTTGGAACTCCCTATGTAGACTAGGCTTGCCTCAGTCTCACAGAGATTCACCTGCTTCTGCCTCCTGAGTGTTGGGACTAAAGGCATGTGCCACCACTCCTGGCTCATGAATCTCTTTTTATTCTGGCACACAAACCACAGTAGTTTAAGACAAAATCTTTCTCCTTTTGCCTCAAAATTTAAGACACACATGGAAAAATCCCCTTTTGTCTTAATTTGGTCCAGCATCCAGGCACTTACCATTTTGCGTTTCTCCTCTAATGTTGCCCGTCTCTGTAAGTAGCACCAAACTCCAATAAATATCTTAAAGTTAGACTTTGAAGTCACCCTTTAATCCTGGTTTCCTTTATGTGCTATAGATTTCTGGATTCTACTTCTAGAAGGCACTTTGAGTCTGTGCATTTTGATCTGCAGTCATTGTCCAGCTGACTCAGTCCCATTCCTGTGTCTCTCCAACCACACGTCAGGGCAGAGTAACCATCTAAGCATGGAATGCAGACCTTGTCACTAGCCCACTTACAGTCTTCCAGTGGCTTTGCACCTCACTGAAGGCCAGTCCTGAATCCCCACTATGATTCCAGAACCCATTGCTATCTGCCTCTAACCCATTACTATCTTACCTCCCTGAGGAGTAAGTTCATTCTTTTTTTTCCTCTTAGTTACAATGCTTCTTTGTCTTTCTCTCTCTCTAAAACATATTCTCCTTAAAATATCTTCTGTGGATCAAATTCTGGGACTCTTTTTAAATTTAAAATTGGAATAATTGAACTATTCCAAAATAACAGAATATTATGAAAACTTCAAAACAAAGACAAGTGACACCAAAGCTAATACGTGCAAACTCTGAGCTCTTAATCAGCAACAGACAACTGGGGCATACCTGTAAGCAACTTTGAATCTCCTTGAGTATATTTCAAGTGAGTGCTTATTTATGTATCTGTATGACTGTCAGTTTGTTTTCTAGGTCAGATTGTCAGAGCTTAAAACTCAGAAACTAAGTCGGATGTGGTGGCACATGCTTTCAATTCCAGCACTCAGGAGGCAGAGGCAGGTGAATCTTTGTGACATTGAGGCCAGCCTGGTCTGCAAAGTGAGTTCCAGGCCAGCTCTGGCTACAGAGAGACTCTGTTTCAAAAAAATCTGAAATTAATTAAATTGAATAAATAAAATAAAACTTGGAAATTACTTTTCACATAAAAATCATGTCATATATGCTTGCTTCTTCTTTGACCATAGTTTAAAATGTACATGCCTGGGCTTCTCTACAGAATATGCACATCTACTTTCTTCATCCAAAACTCAGGAATCATCATTTTAATTATGCACATTTTCATCATCTTATACACCAGCTTCCAGGAAAGTGGATGGAGATGGCATTGTTTAAAAAATGGTAGAGAAGTCAAAACACTCTGAGGGTCTGCTCTGTATCAGACGCTTTCAAGTATAATGCATTTATTCTTCATGAATTGAGAATGTTTCTGTTTCCCTCAAAGAAACCACAGTGTTCTCAGAAAATTGTTTCCAAAGCCAATCTGTAAGTAGGTACCAAACAAGCATTTACCAGAGGAGCACTGGTAGTTCATAGAGAAACTAGGACTTAAGGCTTAGCCACAAAGGTAATGTAAATATTTACTGCCAGCCTAGTCTTCCCTTTCATACACTTTGGCACTGTTGACAGACAATGCAGAAGAATTCGGTGAACTCGAGCATATCCAGGTTTGCTATGAATTCCTAATGAGGGCTGCAATGGTTTAGATAGGATGGGAACATGTCTCCCTAGTATTACTGTGCTGAAATTCAATGTCTTTTGGATGATATTAAGATGATGGAAACTTAATCCAGTTATTTGTTTGTGGAAGGGGTCTTTGGGATCCACAGGAGTACTTGTGAAGTTTTCTAAAAATGAAATGTATCCACACAGAAAATATTACAAATCACATATTCAGTAGAAGCAAAAGAAAAATATGACCAGAAAAGGACATGAACCCCCATTACTAAATGCTGATGGCTTTATTAAAAGGTAGAGACTTTTCTCTCTCTCTCTCTCTCTCTCTCTCTCTCTCTCTTCTCTCTCTCTCTCTCTCTCTCTCTCTCTCTCTCTCTCTCTCTCTCTTGCCATGTGACACCTCATATAACCCATTAGACAGATGGTCATTAGGCCCTTGAAAGGCTGGAAGTATGAACCAAATAAACTCCTTTCCCTTATAAAGTTTCCAACTTCATGTGTTTTGTTACAAGAATGAAAACCAGAACAAGCGCAAAACTTGCCATGCAAAGTAGTAAGAGAAACCTGAAAGTTACAGACACCTACCTTTTAGTACTGAATTTGTTGCACCTTCTAAGGAAGCTGAAATAATCCACGGCTCTGAGGGGAGCCCCAGTGACTCTACTCTTCTGTTCTGGAAATAGTAGTAGAAAAGAGAAAATGTTAGATTCAGAAGACCATTTTTTGTGGTTTTCTACAATAGGAAATTATTCACACAAAGATGCCATAAAGTACATATTATTCAATAGAAGGAAGTAATTAATGTGTTACTTCACATTAACAACTTCAATTTTAGTTTGTTGAAAGAAAATAGTGGATATTATTGTGTGATAATTTAAAGCAGGCAGTGAAGAACAGAAAGGAAAACTTAGTTTATAAAAGTCTCATAAATTGAAGGTTAATAAGGAAGGACAGGTCAAGAGAAGAAAGCCAGACAGGGCTATGTAGTTCAGTGTTGGAACACTTGTTTACCATACACAAGATTCTGGTTTCAATCTCCAGCACTCTCAAAAGAAGATGATGAAATATAACCAGAGTCCATGGAGACTAAAGGTGAGATTTCATCAAAGGCATGGTGAGAGGCAAACTTCAAGAATGTGCTTCAATAGAATTAGTGTCTATGGATTACACAGCCACAAATGGGAGAGCTATATCATCCTTTCCCTCACAAAAGCATAGAGACCATTGCAGATGAGGAGGCAGAGAGATTTTAAGAACCAGAAATTGGGGAGGACCAGAACAAAACAGTGGATATTGCAGAATCACTGTATTCATACACTCACACCACCTGTGGTTTCCTGCACAAGATCAACCCAACCAACATTCCAGCAAGGAGAGAGAGATTCATGAGTCCCCACTCCAACTGAGGAGCTAAGGACAGTTGATGGCTTCTGACAGAGGGAGAGTCGGTTTTCTTTATGGGTGTGGCCCCTTGCAGGTCCAACCATGCTCCATTGGATGCCCATATACTCAGGAACAAACAGGCAGTAGAAACTGGAATTGATGTGTTTATTAAAAGAACAGGAAGTTGTAGGGGGATAGGGAAGTGAGGTGGATCTTAAAAGAGTTGGATGAAGAGTGGGTGGGGTAAATTGATCAAAACATTATAAGAAGTCCTTAAATAATAAAATATATTTTAAAAAGAATGTACTTAGGAAGGAAAAGTATCAGAATTTTCTTGTTGTCCTTGTCGTTTTTAGAATTTTATGTAGGAGTACTTTATCTCATTTGCACTCTCTCCTTCTCCATCTCCTTCTATACACCTCTCAAATTTATGACCTCTTTTTCTTTAATACCACTGTTACATATATATCATATATCATACACCATATATATGAGTTCATTTAGTGTTGCTCATATGTACATGTGCTTGGGACTGACTACTCATCCCTGAAGAAAACTGATTCTCCCTCTCTCAGCAACCACTTATTGCTTATAGCTCTTCATCTAGAGGTGGAATCTTGTTAAATTTTCTCCATCCACATTGGGAAGCCAACCCATGTCGTCATTAAGCAGGGCTTAGTAACCCTAAGGTTGAGATTTCATGGATGCACTTTCCTTGTCTTGTAGCAGGATTAGTCCTCTAACTTTCACAATCATTCTAACCCTTTATAACAATCTTGAGCCTTCATAGAAAATGCAAGGAAGATATATTGTGATTTGTTAAAAGTATAATCAACATCCTGAGAAGTTCTACATGTATGTAATTTTACATAGTGCTGGCTCTGTCAATGTGAATCAGTGATGAAGAAACCTAAAGTACATGTTGTAAAAGGTAATCAGTCATGAAGAGATACCTTCTCATCCAGAAAAACAAGCTGTGGTTGCACTGGAAGTTCTTTTCCAACCTCTCCATCTGAAGGCTGCACTAGGACTGAAAGTATGTAGGGCCGAATATATATCAAATTTCCAGTTTTGAAACTGCTTGAATTTCTAAAATATATAAAAACAAATATAAATATACCCATAGCTTGCAAAGATAAGTGCAGTAACCCTTGTGTATGGGACTGTATGACAGAATATTTGCATTCATCTGTATTTTTAAAAACTCAATAAATATATTGTGTAGTGAATCATTATATATTTTACATATATTATATATGTGATATATTATTGATTAGCCATGATGAAAATTAACTGGTTAAAGCAATGGAGAAGCAAAGATTATAAAGTCATTTGTTTAATCATTATATATTAAATCAGCCAAAAAATAATTTTCAGTGAAAGAAATGATCACACTAAAATCATTAGAAGGCAAGGATAGGGATACATTCAGTCTTAGGCTGTTAAGCCAGCTTTCTCAGGAAATATCCTGATTTTCAGCGTGCTCCAGTCCATGGTATAAGTGCTTTCCCACCATGGTTGATTACAGAGTACCAAGATGTCACTGACCAAACCTAGGAAGAAAATGCCAGCACACCATGGTTTGATTGAATCCCCACAATTGTCATTGTATTTACATTCTCTATATATACATGCATTAAGTAGATCCTATAGCTATGCATTAATTAATTGATTTCAATTGCAAGAATCATCTGGGGAAAATTTTGGTTGTAATGGATATTTACTGGACACTGTGTGCTAAGTACTATTAACTTTCTGTGTATAAACTCACTGCATCTTTAAAATGATGCTCTGAGGGAGATTCTTTTACTTACATTTGAGGAGTAAGAGGTTCATAAAAGCTTAACTAGCTTGTCTTATAAACAGCAACTGTTAATGAGTGAGCTATATACTGCTCATTTTGTTCAAACCTATTAATTTTTGATAAGACAGCACAAATAGTTATAGAACTAATACTAACTCAGAATATCTTCTACTCAGGGTTTTCGTAAGCTGAAAGATGTATCCAATTTTATTAAAAGAACTATTTCTTTTAGCCTAATATGTATTACATATCATAGGCATGCAACATATATTTGGCAATTAAATGTAGATATATAGATAGCACATTTCATAAATACTAGCCTAACAGTATGATTTGATGATCTACATTCAAAATAGTCTAGGCCTGATCTAACAAAGTTTTTATTATGTTTTATACCACTGACTCAATTATATATCTGTGAGGCACTTAGGCTATTTTCTGTCTTCTTCCCTCAGGAGAGTGGGAATGATAAAGCATGTATTTATCAATGATGGTGTTTGTATATCAGGTGAAGATAAACATTAGTTCTGAAAGAGAAAATAATGGAGGAATAAATACAATGGATCATAAAATCTGAAGTTTCTATAGGAAGCATTCTTCCCTACCCAGGCAGAATGCAAATACATGATCCTAGCAACCCCTTGGTCATTCACTAGCTGAAACTCAAGCTGCGGTGCTGGAATTGCTTTCCAGAAGTTCAGCACCCAACAATCATCATTTACTAACTTGCCTAGCCTGAGTGGTTATGGTTCCTATCTTTTTAAAATAAAGAGGTGCAACAAGCTAGTTTTAAACTTATTATATCTATTCTATTCTATTTTTTGTTGGGTAGCAAGTTACAAGAATGTTTTTAGGACCAGATCCTACTTCTCCCCTACCCAAGTCCTTGAATGTTTTCTGATGAGGGAAGAGTACAGGCAAGCAGTCTGGGTTAAGGAAACTGAAAAGCCCATGAAAGATTCTGATATATGTACATTGGTGTCTACAGATGACAGGATGGGGTGCAACTGCCTGAACATTCACAGAAAGGCCTGCCCCGACGCACTTTCGAGTTTATTGTGAGCAAACATCTCTTATTAAATGTAAACAGCATATCACTGGAGGTCAGAGACTTGCTGCTGCAGCATATCCCAAGGTGATACCACTTTAAGCTCCACATAAACTCTTAAGCAGTTTCTATCCTAAAACCTGACCGTAGGTGGTACAGTTTTTTACGATATGTTATAATAGTGCAATAAATCTGTTAGCTTAAAATCGAATCTCCGTGGCCTTTTAGAGAAATCATCATTAAATGCAGGGTCCTGTTAATGATGCCATTGAAGTGAAATTGTTTAATCTGCTAAGGAGGTGAAAGGTCACCAAATGAATTTTTTATAATACATCAACTTGACACGCAATAGGGAAAACTGTAATAGATAAAAGCAAAGGAAAAGGGCACTGTCTTCTTCTGATAGGTCAATAGCAGCCAAGAGAGTCACTCATCCACTTTCCTTTCACGATGGGGCTCCTTTTGCATTTAATATGGACACCCAATTAATACCTCAGTACCACAGACAACCTCATTTTAGGTGACTTATAGCAATTTCTCCCCCTTCCCTGAAATGAAAGTGATCACAATACATCATAGCATTGTGCGAATTAACGTTAATTGATTCAAGTTACCAAGCAATGATGGGCCACTTATATAATCTAGGCGTTATTGGGTGCTAGAAGGGATGGAGGGAAGATTAGATTCCAGTGTCCGTTGCTGTGACGACGGGAGTCACCTGATGCCTTGTTAGACAGTTGTAAGGTTCTATTGCTGGCCCCAGTGGGGTCGTCAGTAAACTGGAGTGATGTCCAAACATCATTACACGCTGCTCCAATATTAAAGCAAAGGGATTAGCAACTTATTGCAAGCAACCTGGATTTGTCATTGTGCTGTCGTTATCCAATTTTCAACTGCTAATGTGACTGTAGCCTGCAGGCAGAAGGACCTACAGCCAAACTTTAAAAAATGGGGGAGGAAAGTTCCTTCCATCTCCTCCAGTTTTAACCACCATTTAACAGCTTCCAATACTCAGTCAGGTATGTGAAATATATATTTTCTCCCTCCAATGCTTAAGTTCAGCCTGAAGAAGAAAAATAACAAGAATGTAGAAATGTCCCAGTTTGGAAATCAACAGTATGCCTTCCAACTTGTGCTTCTAAATCTGCTAGATCTGACATGCTTACCCCATGAAGAAGAGATGATTTTTGTTTGCCTGGGAAACGTGTAAACAACTAAATCCTATTGGTTGGAAACTGACTCTCAACAAGACCTACCGTGTTGGTGTGAGGGTGGTGTGTGGGATTTCAGATAGTCCCTCTTTAACCTCTTCCTCAAAGCTGCTAACCAGGCTCCTAATTTTCAAAAGGAAAGAGAAAAAACCCTCCTGTTTTGGTTAAATTTTCCAGATGCCCTGAGCATTTATGGTCTGTCTTATTTTAAACAGGTTAAGTAAATTAACTGAAGTAATATCATCTATATGTACCATGAGGGGACTTGAATCGAAAGGGACTATGGTTGCTTCTGTAACCTAGAAGTAAAAAGAAGTAAGTTCACTAGTCAGTTCCATTTGACAATATTCTAGCCCTCGTGTACAAAAATTGCTCAAGGCAGTGTGAGATATGCAAAGATAAATAAAATGCATCATTCTGCCCCTAGGGAATACTCCTATATGTCTGTAAGACAAAAATGATACAAACTATTTTATTACATTTAATGAGCCTCATGATTGCTATTAAACCCAGGCAAGCTCCCTTAGTGACTGCCCATTCCAAGAGGGAAGAAATGTCTATGATCTGACAGTTTCCTATTGGCACTATGGTTTAATCCTTCCAATCCTGGTACATTACAAGCCCCCACTGTATCTTGTAAGGTAACACTTTGACAACTCAGTGCCCATCATGTACTTCCTCTACATGTAGGTCATGAACCCATCTTGGCCTGGCCAGCATGAACTTTTGGTACACTCTCCAAGCAGTGTTTCCTGCTATGCCATATTGTTGATGATTAAACTCTTGGAATTGCCTAAAATTATTCATTTCAAATTGTCAGTATATCATGAGTAAACATGATCCATCTTCCAATAATTTCAATCAAAAGCAAAAATTCAGGGAACAAAAGCTAAAATATTTTGTATGTGTGGTGCCGGAAATGGAACCCACAGCCTTACACACACTAGGCAATTGAAATACCATTGAGCTACATGCCTAGCACTGACCTATATCCCGATCTCAAAATCTAAAATATGTTCATTAGTAAATTATTTAGAATAACATTTTATGACAAATCTAACACGAATAAAATTATGGATGAAAATTATTCAGGGGAATGAAAACTAACCACTAAGATCCTAGGCAAATAGTTAAAATTTTCTGTTTATGCTGAGCTACTACAGTAGTAAGAGTGATGAAAAAAAAAAAACAGAAACTACTCAAGATCTACCTAATTGAAAAGTTTTAATACACAGCACTGAAGATTTTATAAGGCTATCGGAGTAGAAAAGTCAAATAAAGTATTGTGTATGCTCTCCCAAATGTCAACTGGAATTAGGAGACGTCGAGGCAAATGTTTAGGTATGTCTACTAGGGTCTTTCCAGAGAGAACTAACTTAAGAGGAAATACCCAGCTGAGTGTGGCTATGGCCTTCACATGCACTGGACCTGGAGAGAACAAAAAAAACGGAAAAAGCTTGTACAGCATTAGCATTCAGTTCTCCTTTTCTGTTTCCTGGCCCACCATATGAGGTCTGTTTCCATGTTTCAGTACACCCTCCCGCTTTGCTGGACTGAGTGCTCTCAGAGTTTGAGCCAAAGTAATTCTTTCCTCCCATTGGTTATTTCTGCTAGGTATTGTGCTCACTGAGATGAGAAAGAAACTAATAGTGATATTTCAGTATTTGTGATAAAAACTGAATGATCACATGAATAAAAAGTGCTCAGGTCCTCTTTGAAATGTAAGAGTAATTTTATAACTTGACTATAACCAGCAACTATTACAGCAACAGAAATATACTTGTATTTATGAAAAATGGGAATAGGTTGGTTCGTGTTGAACTAATTAAATATATAGATGAAATGAGTTTTGATATAACACACTCTCATTAAACAGTTGATCAAATGATGACCTGATTATCCACTGATTTTTAAACTCTAGATTTTCACAGGAGTCATGTAATATTTAATGTAATGTGCTAATATTTAAATTGGTATAATATTTTGGATATGATGGTTGTTCAAGCAATGCGTAGAAACAGAAAAA